AAATCTTAGTTCTGCCTCTGGCATCAGGTAAAAAAACTAGGGATGCGAAATTTGTACCAAGACAAATAACCAGTTCTCATACCAACCATACCAATTTAATTGGTTGGTAGTACCGTACCAACTACTTAAACGTGGTTGGTACGTGGTATTCGAAGTTGTGTCTCATGGTAATATTGTACCGTACCAACTTGTTTTTTAAAAAATTATTCATTAATTAAAATTTAATAAATAATACAACATATTTTGTTTTTTAAAATTTTTAATTATCTTATTTTCTATTTTTTAAATTCAAATACATATGTATTTACGTTAGGGCTGCTTAAAAACCCGACCAACCCGATCTATCCGATCAACCCAACCCAACAGGAAATAACCTAACCTGAAGCAACCCGATGTCTAATCGAGTTGTAAAATTGTCAAACCGTATGTATTGGGTTGATATTGGGTTACTATTATTTGAACCCAACCCAACCCGACGAATCCGATATCCTTTTATTTATTGGATATAATATGATTGTTGAATTTCTATTAATATATACATTAGACAATTATACTATCATGTATGCTTTTCATATACACATATTTTCAATCTATTTACATCTCTATATAACTCATTCGTATATATGTTCAGTAACTCTGAACATATATACGTAAATTGAGAAAATTAACTGAATGTGATATACGTAAGAAATATGGATAAGTTTAATCAAATGATTGATGATGAAAAAGAAATTATAAGTAGATAAATAAAATATTCAAGGTTAGAAGAATATTTTAATGTACCAAAGTATCAACCCGATCAGCCCGACTAACTCGACCAACCCGTACGGGTTGGGTTGGGTTGAGTTAAGATTTTTCAAAACGCAAACATTAGGTTGAGTTGTTCAAATGTCTTCAACCCGATCAACTCAATCCATGAACACCCCTAATTTACATATTTGAATTTTGATTGAATTCATAAGCTGATAAGTGTTTTTGTAAAAAAAAACATAAATCGTTTTAAATAAACAATCCCAAACACCCAAAATATATTGAGTTTTATAAGAACTGCAAGTTGGCTTCTAGAAGTACAAGAAAACTCATAGCATTAAAAAAAAGTCAAATAGAAGGTCAGGAAGGAACATTTGGGGTAGTTGCTTTTTTTGACCAATTATTTTTCTTTTCCAAAAATTGCCGGCTACCCCATCGCAATTAAAAAACCACCTTACAACAATTGTTATTTAAATCGCTAAATTAGTATAACATTAAGGGATCGTTTACCAAACACTTACTCGATAAGTGCTTATCAGTAAAATTTAATATTATTATTTATTTACCGGGTAAGATTTTAGTCCACCAAAACGACATTGTATGCAATAATTCACCCGGTAAGTGCTTACCGTAGTAAGAGTCGTCGCTCTCACTTACCGGGTAAGACTCATGGTTCTTGTCTCGCTCTTACCGGGTAAGATTTTTAGTTTTTACCATATTTATTCGGTGAAGTAATGTGACTTGGTAAGCGCTTACCTGGATAAGCGTTTGGTAAACGGCCTCTAAATGAACTATCGATCACGAATCGTGTTATGTAGAAGTTTAGAGACGACAGATGTGGCAGAGGCAAACCTTAGCATACGGGATCACTGAGTTGACGAATGTGGTCAAAGGAGTCGATAAGAAGTCATTAATTGTTACCGGAAGAAGGGGTTTTTGGGTTTTGCTTATGCATCGGTGGTTTAGGGTTGATGAGAAACAAATGGTTCCGCCGTATAACATTTATCATTTTTTAAATGATTTTTTCAAATTGTTTTACGAAGTTCGAATGTGATCTATTTGTATGTAAATAGATTGCAATTGTTCCTTGTACCAGGTGCAAAAAAGGACCTATGACTTAGGTTCGAGTCTTAATCAAGATTTCTTGAAAATATCGAGACCATCGGTCTTAAACTTGGGGGTTGTTTGTTTACCTTTTAATAGTTACATAAAGAGACAATCTTTGAATCGTTAAGAGGTGAATCTTGTTTGGTAAAAAGAAGTCTGCCTCTTAATGGTTCCAAAACCTTCTAAATGATTTTGTATCATGGGCCTCCCTTAACCATTCAGTGCCCTAATTTCACTGTAAGCAAAAACCACACGATTATATTTCATTTTGTACTATATCATGAGAGCCTCTTGATTATTCTGTACCAAACCATTCAGCAACTGTCAAACAGCCTCTTGGTCTCACTAAAGTTGTGTTTTTTAGGCATGATTATTGATTTGTGTATCTCTAGATACATTTGATGAGTATCATTTTCTATAGATGAAACTTGTCTTACAAAGGACCATTGAGATTTTAAAATCTTAAAATACCATACTGAAAATTCAAGTTTCAACCAAGCAGTTACAACTAGATCAAAACTAATTAATATAACGGAAGTCTAAAGTTGAACTAATAATAACAATGTTGAATAATCTAGTTTATTGACGGATGTCTAGTTTACTGTAATATCCCAAGATCCACATTTACATATAACCATGTATTTCATATAATAAGAAAATACAATATTACACATTCGGTCTCAAAAGTACAAGAAGCTACATTACAAAAGTATCTAACAAATTGTTTTCCTTAACATTCTTGTACATAACTCGCATATATAACAAGTATTCCAAAATCAGTAGATAACAAATTTTTATCCATATTCCATGTAATCACATAGGGAATCTCACATTTTCCTCTTTCCCTTATCTCTTGATAGTGCTTGACCTGTAATATACATTTTTGAAACACAAAATGAGGGTTAGACCTTGAGGTCTAGTGAGAATTTCCCTTTTTGTAATTACAGAGTGAAAATCACCAAAACATGTTATAAACTCATATTTGTAATTAAAGCAAATATATACCACCTTTCATCACACTGGTGTAAGACCATCAACTCCTTGTATCACACTGTGCGATATCACCTAGAGCCCTTCTGGGTTCTTAAGGAACCAGAGTTCCTCACCCTGGTCTACCAACCAGAGCAAAGCCAAACTTAAAAAAGGCCACTAAAAGAGCAAAGCCAAACTTAAAAAAGGCCACTAAAGGCTAACCAGAAGCAAGATTTTATAAAAAAGCGAGACCAACCAAACATATGACCAATCAGAGGCCCTCTGAATGTCTAGAGCCACTAATCATTTGGCTGAAATGTAATGGCCAGGTGACGAGGCTTCCTACTGATATCATAATTAATCATTCAGTGCTCTTCAGGTTCTAATCATATTTCATTAATGGATGTTTAGGTCATTATCCATTAAAGACCCTTGATCTTCTTTCCTTGTCCTGTCTTCATAGGTTCACCTCTTTGTCAGGGGGTGAACTTCAGCCTCAGCCTCAGGTTTACCGGTTAGGTACAAGATTTCAATGTAAGGGGAACACATCATATGCTAACTCATAGTGTTGTTGACATTTTAAGTCCTTATACTTACAAGTGATTCCCTCGTTAGTCCTTTTATTTTTAATGTTGACATTTTAAGTCCTTATACTTATAAGTGAATCCCTTGTTAGTCCTTTTATTTTTAATGTTGACATTTTAAGTCCTTATACTTTCCAGTTTCCCCCTTTAACCATTTTAGTCCTTTTTTTTGTAAGGGTGTCCGGGCCAAAGCCCGACTAATCCCCGGCAAATTTGGAGGCTAAACATGGCCCCACTTAAATGTCGCCAACACTCCCCTCCCAGGGCTCGAACTCGGGTTCATGACTATGTCATGCCCAAGCCTTTATCGTTTACATACTTTACAAAGCGACTTTGAAATTGGTGTTACATAAAATGAGTTGATTTTTGTTTCCAAAAAAACAGGTTAAGTGGGTTTACAACATCCAAATCTTTAGATTAAAGAAAGGTTGGAATTGAAAATACAAGAATAGATCTCAACCGTCAAATATAATCCAATGATATGATTAAAATATGGTTACAACTTTTTGCTTCAGGCATAATAATTATTGACCAATTAGCGAAATATAATCAAAATTGAAACCAGAACAGACTACAAAAAACGAATATTTTATTCTTTTTAATTTGGGAAAATTACATGAGAAAATTAACGTATTTTAACTTGATTCATATTTTGGGTAACGTACTTTCAAAACTTTCAAGTATCCAAGATATAAAGTTTTAAACATTTAAGTATCCGAGAAATCGGTTGAAGCATTAACCGGTTACCATGCTGATGTGACGAGTGATGTGGTATCCGGTTAATGTTTCAGCAAATAATACTGAGTTGGATACCACATCACTCGTCACATCAACATCGTAACCGATTAATGCTTCAACCAATCATCCGAGTACTTAAATGTTTAAAAATTTACATCTTAGATACCAAAATAAAAGTTCTGAAAGTATGTTACCTAAAATAAAAATCAAGTTAAAGTACGTTACTTTTCCATACAATTTGTCCGTTTAATTTAACATTTATTTTAATATATATGTTTTGATCAACTTTTTATATCATTTTCAATTAATGTGAAATGAGAATCATAACCCAAATTCAACTTGGCTTATAGAAAACGACGACTTTACAACTGTACCAGATTTATTTTAATAAATTTAAAAATAATAAAAGAATAAAGCATTTGATGACGATAAAAATAATATGACGCATGCGGACTGCCTTTGAGATCAAGTTCCGAAATCACCAACTTTTAATTTCACATTTTAATATAAAAGGGTGTTTGGGATTTCTTATTTGAAATAACTTATGTTTTTTCTACAAAAACACTTATCAATTTATTATAATTTAGAAGGGTTTAACTTTTTTAAAAACTTCTTATTACTGGTTTGGCACCGGTATAAGTTGTTTATTCAAACACTCAAAAGTATTTTAGACTTATTCAGATATTTATGAATTATGAATATAGAATTAAACGTTTGCATCTATTAATCCATTAAGGAGTCAACTTTACCCTCCTGCGTTCCCATATGAGAACCTTAAAGGGCTTAAATAATGGCCATTTCTTTGGGGGACCAAAGTCCTTTTATATATATATAATAATCACATAAAAATCTATATATATTCCACCATCTCCCAAGCTTTTCTCATACCATTCAACCCCAAAGCTCACTTTTCTCCCTTCAAATCAACTCAATTTCTCAATTTTAAATGGGTGAGAAAAGCAAGATCTTGATCATCGGAGGAACGGGGTACATCGGAAAGTTTATAGTGGAGGCAAGTGCAAAAGAGGGACACCCGACGTTCGTTTTGGTCCGAGAAAGAACCACCAAACATCCCGAGAAAGCCAAGCTTTTAGAGAATTTCAAAAGTCTTGGTGCCACACTCGTTACTGTAAGTGCTTTGTTTTACGACGATACAAATTTGTTTTCGATGATTTTTTAAGTAAGCCAATAAAAAAGTCCGAAGCCCAATTCGGAAAAGTCGGGCCTAGCACCGAAACCCAGTCCTATATCAAGCCAAAAAGCCAATCAAGCCAAGTTTTTTCAAAAGCTCGAAAAGTTTCAGATATGAAAAAACCAGAAAAAGCACGAGCAGACCTATTTTTACACTCAATGTCAGATCATGTCAAAAAAAAAGCTCGGATGTCTAACATATCTCGTCCAGAAATTAAATAAATTGTAAGATATTCGTTGAATTTTGAAATAATTTGGATGAATTATTTTCAGGGGAATATTTATGATCATGAAAGTTTGGTGAAAGCGATAAAGCAAGTTGATGTTGTGATATCGACCGTAGGTGGAGAGTCCATAGCTGACCAAGTCAAACTTATTGCAGCTATTAAAGAAGCTGGAAATGTCAAGGTGACTTCCCTTGACTCTTAAAGAAAATACCTAACTATTATTGACAAATTGTATGAAAAAATAACGTACTTTAACTTGATTCTTATTTTGGATAACGTATTTTCAAAACTTTCATTTTGGTACCTAAGATGTAAAGTTTTGAACATTTAAGTACCCGGATAACCACTTGAAAACTAAAATTAGATTAAAAAAAAGACTAATTTTATATTTAAAAAAATTCACGTCAGTGACCACGTCAGCAAATAATACCGAGTTGGATACCACATCAGTATGATAATCGGTTAATACTTCAATCAATTACCCGGGTACTTAAATGTTTAAAACTTTACATCATAGGTACCAAAATGAAAGTTTTGAAAATACGTTACCCAAAATAGGAATCAAGTTAAAATACGTTACTTTTTTTATGCAATTTGCCCACCTTAAAAACATGGATAGTTATTAAACAATCAATGAACATTCTAGATCATGCAATGCATCGAGACATTTCGGTTTCAATGTTTCGTTACAATACGGTTTTATGTGAGTTTGAAAAAGCGATAATGTTTTTATTTTTGAATAAAATATTATAAAATTTTGAATTTTTTTTATCGATATTAGTATCAAATTAATTATTTAAAAGTTCTTGTTTTGTGTTTTTTTTAATTCAAATTTAATATTATAATTTAATTTAACGTAACAAAGTAACTTAATTTAGGTTTAATATATAATATACTTTTTTATAAAGATAATAATTAAGTATTTTGTTATAACTTAATGAATATCTTAATTATATTTTAGATTTTTTTATATTTAAAACAAGATGTTTATCCTATATTTGATTATGTTTATCTGSAGTTAGTTACACGAATTCAAACATGAAGCTTTAATAAGTTGTACTTATACACAATTTACTTGTAATCTTGAATTTTAAGTAATATGCATTAATAAACAGTACTTCGTACATAAAAAATGGTTTTTAAGAGTTTTTATCAAATGCTTTATAATATAGTATAGTATTCTGATATTTGTATCTCATTTAGAAAAAAAAAATATAATAATAGGCATCTAATAAAAATTAAACTCGATTAAGTTCTTACAGTCTTGTTTTTTACTTTATTATAAAATATTATTTTTATTTTTAAATTTAATTTTACAATTTATTATAACTAACTTTTTAAATCTTAATGTTTGAACTACGTAAACTGAACTAATAATCAACTATTAAACACGTTTAAGTACAATATAAGTATTTAGCTCTACTAATATGATATTGGTACTAAAAGGCTTTTGGCCTAGCGTTATCGTAACCTTTAGCCTCCTAAAAAATCAAAGGTGAAAAAGGTGTGTGAATTTATTTGTTACATTTGTTGTATATAAATTTTATATACTTCAAAAAAGAATATGATATTGGTAAACTACTCCATAGATTATGGATGTTCTTTTTAAATAAAAAATGTACGTTAATTTTCCGTTCTTGTTTTATACTGGTATAAATACTCAAGCAGTATTAATAAATAAGTTAAAATTAAATATACAAGGTAATTATGTAAGTTTAATATATAATTAGCGTACAGTTTATTATTAATTATAAACAGGTACAGGTATACTTGAGAAATTTAAAATTTTATTAAACTATGTTTTTGATACATGTTATAGAGATTTCTGCCTTCGGAGTTCGGAACCGATGTTGACCATGTCAACGCAATTGAGCCAGCCAAAAGCGTCTTTAAAGGGAAGGCAGACATCCGTAGAGCGATCGAAGCTGCAGGAATCCCACACACTTTTGTCGCATGCAATGGTTTTGCCGGCTACTTTTTACCCACTGTGGGCCAGATGGACACCTACAGTGCCCCTCGAGAAAAAATTACAATCCTTGGGGATGGAAACAAGAAAGGTACAATCTTGAATGCGTAAAAACATAATATGTTAAATGCAAAAGAAACAATTTCAAACCGGTTTGAACTTGGCTCCAAAGGTAAAAAATACCAGGAGATCCTAGGTTTAAATCTAAGGAGGAATAAAAATCCCCTTGTGGCCATGGATGTTCAAATCCGGTGACTTCGGGCTATCTGCAAAGCAGGTGGTCGCCCTGGGATTAGTCGGCTCGTATAGCGGGTTAGATATCCAGGTTAATAAAGAAAAAGGGGAACAATTTCTTTAATTTTTATGTTGTTTTTTATATCCAGCCGTTTTTGTCAAAGAAGAGGATATAGCTTTGTATACCATCAAAGCAGTCGACGATACACGTACCTTGAACAAGACATTGATTTTTAGACCCCCGGCCAACGTATTGTCCTTTAATGAAATTGTTTCCATCTGGGAAAGCAAAATCGGGAAGACCCTCGAGAAAACGTATCTTTCTGAAGATCAACTGATCAAAAACATCCAAGGTGAGTTCCACATGAATAAAATATTTAAAACGCTCAAGTCGAAAACATCGATACATAACTAATGATGTAATTTAGTTACGCTGAAAATTAACATGTTCCTCGTTTTGCAGAGGCTCCATTTGGATTAAGCATCGTATTGTCTATAATGCATTCCGTTTTGATTAACGGAGATGCAACAAACTTCGAGATTGAACCTTCGTTTGGTGTGGAGCCCTGCTCGCTTTATCCAGAGTTGAAGTACACCACGATTGACGAATATCTTACTCAATTTGCTTAAAGTCTTTGCCTCGTGATCGCTTTTTTATCTGCTTTTGATAGAAGAAAAGACATTTAATATTGTGTCATCTTGTTGCATATTTCCATACTTTTTTTTCTCCTTACTGCTTTTATCTTTCATTACACGACCATTTGTTGTTGTATTTAGGGTTACCATTTGGGATCTGTCCTATTTGGAGAGTGGTCATGCGTTTGGCTGGTAGTTATCATGCCATTTAGGGGTAATTTTTTTAATAAAATTGTCAAATTATAATATATATATATATATATATATATATATATATATAATTCATTAGTTAAATTCTACTAACTTTTACGAATCGTATAGGTACAATTTGTTGTTGATTGTATTTAACAACTAACAGTTATTTATATATACAATCTACATTACTACTCAAATTACTCATGCTACCGTGCAATGCATGGTTCCCGTCCTAGTTAAATTTAAAAGAAAATTAATTAATTAAGAATAATCAAGTGATTTTGTATTTATATGTAATTTTTGGTGTCATCCTTATCTCTAAAATTACATACATATAATATGCTGACGGTATAAAACAATTATCACAGCAAAATCACATAATGAACAGATAGAGCGATGAATGTAAACATGACCATTGTTTTTTTTTTTTATTATCATAACATTATCAGATCGCTATCACAACAAAGATCACGTAATTATTAGATGATTATCGCATAAAAATCACATCATAAAAAATCTTCAATTTATCAAATCATTATCACGGTAAAATCAGATCATTGTCATAGTATTATCACGTCATTATCGACAATGGACGCATCGACATAAAAAGTCCCGGTGATAATAGGAAAATTTAATGGATAAAGATAAATATAGGATAACAGAAAATTATAGATAAATACTAATTTATTCTAATTTTTATTATGTGTTAACTAATTTAGAGAGCCAAAAGTGTTCTCACATTTTCGTAAAACATAGGTGTTTTTGTGTAAACCCTTATATATATATATATATATATATATATATATATATATATATATATTTGCATTATAACTATACTCGAACCCAACCCGAAACCCGATCAACCTGAAGCGATTAGAAATCAGAAACCCAAAATTCGGAGGTTGGTATACATATCTGAAATTTGATCTGACTTTTTGTTCCCCGAACCGCTCGATGCACACCACTAGCTAATATAATATATGGTATGAACTTTTATTGAGTTAGGAGCCGTTTACCCAAATGCTTATTCGATAAATGCTTACCAGTAGGAATCAACATTATAATTTATTTTTTTTTGATATGATTATAGTACATTAAAACGGTATCATATGAAACAATTTTCCCGGTAAGTGTTTATTCGGGTAAGAGTCGTCACCCTCACTTACCGGGTAAGACTCTCCATCATAATTATCGTTCTTACCAGGTAAAATTCTTATCTCTTACCATGTTAATCCGGTGAGGGAAATTGTCCAATAAGCACTTACCGGGTAAACGTTTAGTAAACGACCCCTTAGTTTAGTTTGGTTTTATGATATAAATTTTTATATTTTGTTATATTTATTACTCATTCCATCAATCTATAATCATGGTACACACGTAAACACGAATTTCCAACAAGCCCTTGATAGTAAATATACATACCTAGAAATGTGGCAAAATAGCGGTACAAGTACGCGCCGACCACTATGATCATTTTCAAGTAATAAAGTGATAAAAATACTGAGATCATATCCACAGAGGTTGGACTTCAAAGTTTCAAGTATTAAGTCGAGAATATACCGATTTTAATTATAGAAGAAGAAAATACTTTGAGTGAGTTGGGTGCTTTTTTAGATTGATTAATTAATAACAAGCAGTAAAAATATAGGCATGGGTGCAACCGTGCAAGCCTTTCCGTAAGAATACAGTAGCAACAAGATGGGCGAGAGAACTAGGCATGAAATAACTCATCGCAGTCTCTTTGTCTCGAAGTAAACCATGATGGACTGTAAGCGCTTACCCAGTAAATTGTTGCATTCGATATGTTTTGATGTACTAAAACATATCATTTACTTAGCGAGTAAGATTTGAGTCCACCAAAACGACATTGTGTGCAATAATTTATCCGGTAAGCGCTAACCGTGGTAATAGTCGTCTTCATCACTTACCGAGTAAGACTCTCGGTCCTTGTCTTTGCTCTTACCAGGTAAGATTCTTAGTCCTTGTCATATTCAACCGGTAAGATAATGTGACTCGGTAAGTGCTTACTCAGGTAAACATTTGGTAAACGACCCCTAAGTTTAATTGTATTTTCTAAACTTTGAGCTTATGAAAACTACACTTACTGAAAATTGAAATTTTATATCAGTTGAGATCCAAACTAAATTTGAATGATAACGTCTTCGAATTGAAGTTTTATTTGGATTAGATCTTTCAAAATCAAAGAAATAAAATAAAACAAAAAAATAATTAAAATTTTAGGGCTTATTTATTAACACAATGTGGGTAAACATTAACCGAGTAAGAGTGTGGTTAGGATCAGTATTAATAATCGACTGTAAGAGTCTCTCTCTCAGCTTATCAAGTCAACATTTCAGTCAACAACATGAACTGATAAGAGGGGCTTTATTAATAGCACATCTGATCAGGAAAACACCTTATCAGATAAGATATGATAAGCATGAGGTAAACTTGATTTTCATCTTTCATCTAAGGCATACAATCAATACTAGTCTCGAGACTAGCCTCGCCAGAACATGGTACGAGTCAGAAGAAACCCGGTTTTAAGCCCATTGGGTCAAATAGTACCATTTCGGTCCTATAGATCGAATGAAACCAAACCATGTTTGGGGATCGGTCCCGGTTAAAGCCCAATTCTAAGCCCAATCATCAACCCCTAGGGCTTTGTTCAAACGCCCAATCCTAACTTAATAAAGCCGAAATTGTATGCTATTTAGTTTACGATTAATTGAAATTTTGGATTATTAATCTTTTGTGTTTGTCGGAATTTGATTACTACGAACATGGTTGATTACAATATTGCCTATTTAACAAATAAAGACACATTTTTTTAATTAACCTAGATATCCAACCCGCTATACGAGCCGACTAATTCCAGACGACACCTGCTTTGCAGATAGCCCGGAGTCAACGCATTTGAATCTCCCTGGCCATAAGGGGATTTTTATTCCTTCTTGGATTTGAACCTGAGATCTCCTGGTACTTTTGACCTTTGGAGTCAAGCTCAAAACAATCAGACATTATCTCTGTGGTTAAAGACACATTTTATTGAGTTCGTATGTAAAGTTAGAGCATCTCAAATCCACTTATGGGAGTTTATCCAAAACCCGAATGTCTCGAAATCCGAAAATCTGAAATCCGACTGGGATATTTGGGTTCGGGTTGGATATGAACTTTGGCCACCCATCCCGTCTAAAAACCCAAAAAGTGCATATATATATATATATGTGTGTGTGTATATATATATAATTTAAAATATTATACAAATATATTTATTTATCTAATTATCTTTGAAAAATCTTAAATCCTGATCGGTTATACTCTTCTAATTTCTGAACATAGTATCAATTTCATCAATCCCATCATTCGATTGAATTCATCCTCAAAATGGATTGAATATATATATATATATATAGGGTATATTTCTTTTACAACTTTGTGTATTTGTACAACCCTTACAACCCAATTAATTGAGATATTTATAGAAATAATGAGAGTTCATTTATTATGATTTGAATATTTATGGAATATGAATAAAGTTCATTAATTATGATTAATACTTTATATTAAGAAACAATAAAAACTTCTATGAAATCACATATTCATCAAATGAAATGGACGGTTGAGATTGAGTTGTATTGGTTGCACAAATGTCAATGGTTGTATAATAACCAACCTATATATATTTTGCATACAACTATATCCGAACTCGACCAACCCCAACCCGACCAACCCCAACCTGGAACAATCTGATATACAAAACCCAAAAATTACGAGCTTGGTTTTAATATCCAAAATCCAATCACGTTATCAATTTGTCCACCTAAATCCGTCCAACCCGTCCAATGCACACTCTTAAATCCACCCCTTACATCCAAATTTTAATCATTGTAGGGAGTCAAAATAAAAAAAACCATCATTCCAATCATTCGTTATAACATCTCCAATCTTATTCTTATATATGGAGTGAAATACATAGAAATTAATGTGAGTAGCAAAATAATACTCCCTTCGTCCCAAAATAAGTGTCAGTATTTCTATTTATGTTTGTCCCAAAATAGGTATCAACTTTTAAAAGTAAATAGCCAAATTCTCAAATTTATTCTTAATTAATGTACAAATATTTAAGAGTTGTGAAGAGAAAGAAATTAAATAAGGGTAAAAACGTCATTTGGTTAAACAAAAAAGTGTAATAATTATGCATGCTAAAAATGTGTGTCATTTCAATTGTGGACAATTATTTTAGGATATGGATTACATTATTTCTCCAATCATGATCTCCCATCAACAAATAACATAATTTTAATAATTTTTATTTACTTTTTGATTAAAACAAAATAAACAAAAGACATGATATATATATATATATATATAATAAAATAATGTAGAATATTTGTAGCGAAATCCTTATATGTTGGGAATGAGATAAGGAAAATTAATTAAAGGTGTAAATACAGAAAGTCTATTGGAACAAGGTTTTTTCATATTTGACTTCTTACTATCCATGCTATATTATAAAACATTTGACAAAACTCTTAAAAACCAGTTTTATGCATGAAGTACTGTTTATTGATGCATGTTACTTAAATTTCAAGATTACAAGTAATTTTACGTAATTACAACTTATTAAAGCTCAATTCTTGAATTCATGCAACTAACTGTAGATAAACATAATCAAATACATGATAAACATCCATTTTAAATATAGAAAATCTAAAATATAATTAAGATAATCATTGAGTTCTAACAAAATGTTTAATTATTATCTTTATAAAAAAATTATATTATTAAATCAAAAATAAATTACTTTGTTACTAAATCTAAACTAAATTATAATAAAAAATTGAATTAAAGAAGTTACAAAAAAAAAAAAAAAAAAACGAGAAGTATTAAATAATTAATTTGATATTAATATCGATTTATTTTTTTCAAAATTTTATGCTATGTTCAAATTTTATATTTTATTAAAAAATAAAAATATTATCGTTTTATGAAAACCACATAAAATCGTATTATATCGATAGAGACAGAATAAAAGTTAAACATTAAAATCAAGATTTATCTCGCTACATTGCACGAGTACCTTTCTAATAATTAAAAATGCAATGTAGGAAGCCTATTAAAGATATCTTATCATTTAGGGGCTGTTTACTTGTAGCTTAATTAGGCTTATTGGTCCATTTGACTTATTCGCACAATTTGTTTGGGTTGTTTACTTACTGCTTATTCGTACATAACATGACTTAGTCACACAAATAAAAATGATGTGTTGTTCCCATTCAACCACAAAAATTACACCCTTTATTTAAAGCACCATCTCCTTCCCATATGAGATACCGCATCGTCTGCCTTTTATGATTTTTTGTTTTAATGTTCAAATAATTAATATTGATAAATAAATCAGTCATTTCTGTTTTTCAAAATGTTGATTCAGATAAAAAATAAATAACACTCATTCAACCTTTGTGGTAAGTCTCCTTCTCACAGGAAGCGACACTTGTCGCAAATACTATTTGTTGAAATTTGATTACATGACCTTCGATTTCTCAATCTAGTCAACCAGCACCTTTCAGTGAAGTGGACAAAACCGTTGCCAAATTTTGGGGCCATCGATGAAGCCTGCATTCAGTTTCTTGAAGGTACCTGTTTCTCACAGCTATGGACAGACAACGAATATGATGAAAACATATACAGTGTTTACCTATGCTTATTTACCTTGTAAACGGCAGCATTGTGTTGATTCTATATTCACTGGTGTATACTGTAAGCGTGAATCTTGTGGAAATCCCACATCGTCTTCAACGATGTCCATGCTTCGTGGACATCGATTTTTCAACTTCAAGCATCGGTACTCTATCATGATAAAGGATATCTTTTGGGATCAAAACCTAGAACCCATTATGATTTCGATGCCTCATTGTTTGTTGTTGTTGTTTACTTTCTTCTTTTCTTGTTGTCCCCCAAGTGTTTGATAATATTTCTCAACCAGATTATGCCCTTTTAACTTTTGTTTTTGTTCAAACGCATTGTAGAATTTTTGGGGGGTTAGCTTATCGGGTGTCTGGATATGGAGAACCCTGTACCATATAGCAGAGGGTTGCAGAAGCATTCCTTGTCGATCATTAAACAGGGGCGAAGTGGATATGACCCGTCTGATACGGAGACAGAATGGCATGAAGCTCCGTGGCATGAATTCAATAGGAAGAGTGTAGAATTGGGTTCTGGAGTGCCAAAGATGAGTTCTGATGACACTAGGAACCTGAATCCGTTGAGACTCAGCAGGAGACACTCTTCAAAGTTTGATCCTGAAGGGGTGCCACTTACAAGGAAACGCAGCAAATCTCCCTATAAGCCTCAAAGAGATGATGGGAATTCCCGGTCACCTACTCTTGGTTCCCTTCCCCTTCCACCAGGAAGGAATATCAGTCCGTTTTCCAAGTCTGAGCGTAGGAGGCATCTTTCACCATTCATACCCACAAGAGGGGATGATCTTTTGGAGACTGATGAAGCTTTTGGCTCATATCATAAGCAGAAACACAGCCAGCCCAACACTGAAAGTTATCGGGATGCTGAGAAGCTGAATTATGGTAGAACATTGTCGGCACCTAGACTGAGAACTAGGGACAAGGAGCAACAGATGAAGTATGATTATTGGGTGAAAAGGAGAGAGGAAAGGAGTAGGACACCTCCATTGCGCAGAAGTGTTACCCCACGAAAAGACAAGGAAGGTAACCCTAAGAATGTCCCTTCTGTGGGTGAGATCAATGAGATGGTTGCAAATGCGAAATTGGCTAAGAGTCCAGTGAGACATGCTCCAGTTTTTGATAGCACAGATTCTCTTCCAGGAGGCGATATTTTCTTTTCTCGAGACTATGCAGCTATGTCGACACAGAAGATTAAGAATGGTGGTCTGGAAAGTCGTCTTAGCCCGAAGGCCAAATTGTTCATAGAAAAGAAACCTGATCCACACCATCGTTATAAATCAAATGCTATTCCTAATTATAATACTACCGGTATTTCTTCTAGCAGTCTTTTAACACCCACAACTATCATCTCAAGCTCCGCTGTAAGTAGGCAAAGTAGCAATCTAAGTGATGCCAGTGCAAAATCAACTGGGAGCTCCTGGAAGTTCACTGCAAATAGGCAGAAAAGCCAGACGGATTCATGGTTCTCTTGCATAGGGAAAGGACCTTGCCGTACGTCCAAGAAGTCTCCAGAAAGAGAGAGAGCCTTTGATGAAGCTTCTTTCATTGAGAAGGCTTTCGTAGTTGAGAGCCTTAGACAATTCTGGGCAGATAAGTATCAACCTTCGTCATTGAATGGGTTCACTTGCCACAAACAAGAAGCCCTGCAACTTAAACAACTGGTAATGTCTTTAGTTTCTCAATCACAGCATAATTGGTATTTCCAAAACGAAATTGTGCAGATTATGCACAATTATGATTTTCTAAAATTTTAGTTTCACACAAGTTATACATGCATGGTCTTGTGATTGTAACACTTTGTTGTTATTTTTTTTACATGCATTCGGTTTTAAGATTCTTATCATGCTGCACTCTAGGCATCCCAGGACATACTTCCACATATTCTTTTGAAGGGACCTCAAGGGTCAGGGAGGAAAGCATTGACAATGGCCCTACTACGTGAGATTTATGGAGATGCTGCCCGGAATGTAATTTTACTATATTCAGTACTGGCATTTTAGCCTTCAGAATTTGTACAAAATTCTCAGATCGCTCATTTTCCTTTTGCAGATATCTCATGATTTAAGATACTTCCAGATTCAGGTATGTGATAGTTGATAGAGTTTTAGAATGTGTTTTGACTCGAAACCAGAAACAAAACAAACATGAGCATGGGTCTATGTGTCTCCAATGTGTCTTTACCAAATATACTGTCACATAACGAGTTTCTACACCCTTGCATTTTGTTTTCTTTTCTTCTATTTATTTCAAGGATCTTGTTTTTGGCCCATTTTCACTTATGCCATATTGGCTCCTACTTTTGTAGGAGGAGTTTTTTTTTGGTGGCACACTGGAAGTATTAAAGCTAGAAAACTGATGTATTATTAAGATAAAAGTTTGATCCAGCACACTGTACTCTCAATTGCTCTAATACCAAGTTGAGAATATAGTTTTTGTATTTCTCAAAAACTGAATTTACAATCAACAGCACTAAATCTATTTAGGCTTCCTGAATATTTGGAGAGTTAGCTCTGCATTTAGTTGGAGTTTGATCCAGCACATGGTTGTTGGAAGAGATCTGCGGACTTGATCTAGCAATTAAACCATCCTTAAATAGGCTACAAGTTAAATAAAGCTAAAATACAAGATAAATAAAGAAGATAAATGTTTATAGAGTTATGAACAAACTCCTCAAGTTGGAGATAAATATCGATCAACCCCAACTTACCGCAAATGAAATCTATGTCTTTCAGAACGGGTTTGTCAGAATGTCTATGAGTTGGTGCATATGAATATGAATTGGCTAAACAGATGGGGAATTAGACTAAGCACCAATGATTTGATTTCTCACAAACTAAAAGTCGACCTCCATATGTTTGGTCCCCTTGGAAAGGTTGATTCTTTGCTATATGGATGGCATATTATTATCGTAGTATAACCTCATTAATTTATTTGAAGGATTCCACCTCATGTAACAATCACTTGGTCCATCTCATAAAAAAAGAGACATCTGCAATAGATCGTGATACTTTTTCTTTTGTGGTTCTTGCTCTTCCATGAGACATGATTTCCGCGCAAAAAAAGACAATATCTGATGGTGGACCAACAGGAAAAGGACAATTCCATCCAATCTGTAAAATCCTACAATCCTCTTGGATCCTTCCTCAATACAGGCACAGATCTACAGTGACCCTGATGGTAACACAATACTCTTGCTGGAGAGGCATTGAGGTACTTCAATTTCAAAGAGCTACATTCCAGTATGCAGTATAAGGGGAAGATATTAACCATCCATCCATTTTAATGGCATAAGAAATGTCCGTTCATGTGACAGTATAAGGTTTCCCTGAAGTCATTTGTATTTGTCTAGATCTTTCAGAAGCTTCCTATCCTCTTGTAATGGCTTTCCATTCAGAGCCATTTAGATGGTAAATCTAGAACATACTTCCTTCGACATAACAAAATTCCTTGATAGGATCTAGATACTTCAATCTCTAGACAATATTGAAGACCTCCAAGAATGGTGACTCAAAGCTGGTTCCCAATAAAAAAATTCAGATGTGTCGATGATCATCTCCTATCAGATCCATGTCATCAATATATACGACCAAAATAGTACGCTAACCTTGTCAATGTCAATGTCAATGTCAATGTCAATAGAACACCAGGTAATCGGTTTCACCTCCTGGATAATCTCTAATTGCAGAGGGACCTTTGAGACTTGACCAGATAAGGCTCTTGAAGATTGCTTGAAACCATACAAGAATCTTTTAAGACGACAAACCTTGGTGGCTTCTTCTAGAATGACAAAGCATGGTGGCTGATCCATAATATGCCTCTTCAAGGATGCCATTGAGAGCACATTCTTGATATCACGTTGGTGGAAAAACCAGTGACGAATAGCCGCAAGAGCAATGCGGATATGGATAGAAGGCATCTTGGTCATTGGTGAGAAGGTCTCTTCATAATCAATGCCACAAGCTTGGGAATAGGCTTTTCACAATGAAGGAAATCAAGACCTAGCTTCACAATATACACCCACTTACATCCAATAGAGTGCTTGCCAGTGGGATGCAATTCAAAAAACTGAGTTTTGCTTCGTCCATATGATCTCTTCTTTTATAGCCTTGTACCACTTGAATGTTGTCAATCTTTCTGTGCATTTCTAGGATTAGGATGACTATCTATCGCAAACGTAAAGGTATCAGATTTGGTGATATAGCAGTATAGACTAAGTAGTTTAGTAGGGGGTGTCAGGTACAATTAAGGATGCCTTTTTAAATCGCAATGGGTGCGCAAGGTGGACAAGGTAATGCAGGTGGGTGTACCATGTTGTATAATAGGTGGTCAGTAGTGCTAGGCGCACTTACAGGACATGTGACAGCGTAAGTGGGTGTTCAGGTTGTGTATGAGACTACAAAATAGATGGTTCAGTGGTGAGAGGAGTGGAACCAGAGAATCTCTTGCTTTATTACTGAAATGGAGCGTTGAGCAGTATTTATTTGATGTTTTTGTTGCTGTGTATAGACCAATGTGATCAAGGAATGAGGTGCAGGAGTCAGAGGAGATTCTTGTGATTGTTCTTGGATAATTGATATTAGGCCTTAGCAAAGGGAATACTCACGAAGAATAAAGTATGACTCGGCCTTGGTAGAGGTAACATTTGCAGAAGTGAAATACATTCACAAAGTAGGACTGCAACATCTATGGCTCTTTGAACATAAGAATAACCAACAAAACACATCAGACAGTTTCGGGATCTAGCTTAGGGCCTGTTTGTTGGCAGCTTAATGAGCTTAATGGGACTCACAGCTTATTCAGTCAACTTTATACAACTGTTTGGTAGTGGCTTAATGATATAGAAAGTGGCTTATTCAGTAAGCTTCTAGGGAGGGGGAGCTTTATGCAGAAAGCCAAAAAAATTCCAAACCTGCCCCTCCCAATTCAAGAACATGCTCCTTCCATCTATGAAAAAACCTCCAGACAAAAACCTTCCCGATCTATACAGACTAATATCTACATAGACAACTTTATCCATACATGACTTGATAAAAAACCAACCAAACAGCCCCTTGGTTTCCTGTGGACGCATGTCATGGGTGTAATGCACACAACCAAACAATTTGGTGAAACCTGAAACAACAGAGCAGATGGGTATAGAGCACACAACATAATCTAGAATCCAGGATCCCTAGAGTCCGAGGATTAAAAAAATTAAGAAAGAAATTCTTAATAATTGTGTAGAACTCCTGCAAGAAATCCTATTAGAATATGAAGTAAATACCAACAAAATTTGGAGTCCAGTTTGAATTAGGGAACAGTCACAAGCCCCGACAAGACTCAGATATAGTTACGGAAATGATGAACCAATCCTAGTTGAAACTAGATAAAAATCCCAACCATATTGTTATCGACTTCTTCGTCACACCAATAGTTTCCTGAATTGCATAAAAAGACTAAAAGTGCAATAAAGTAATCTTTAAACAATTAAATATAAAATAAGAGATTGATAAATAAGAGGTATTGATCATGTTCTATAAGACATGACACCTTAAATTTAATTTTTTTATTTCTAATTTTTTTTATTAACCTGGATATCCAACCCGCTATGCAAGCCGACTAATCCCAGGGCAACCACCTGCTTTGCGGGTAGCCCGGAGTCACCGCATTTGAACCTCCGTGGTCACAAGGGGATTTTTAAATCTAGAAAGCATAAAGCAATTCTAAAGAGCCAAACCAAATCAAGCGTACCCATCATATCTCACTCGGAGGTAGGATTTGGGGAGGGTATGATGTACGCAGCCATACCTCTACCCCTGGGGATAGACAGACTGTTTCCATAAAGAGCCCCAACTTGTGAAACATAAACATTTTTTTTGAAGTTTTAGAAGGGACCGCAAGGAGTTACCTGGACAAACAGAAAGCGAGGAAAAAGTTAGAAAAATCTTGTGAGGAAGCGACATTAGTGAAAGGTGTAAAATAAAATAGTGCACACAAGGCAACAGACAAGACACGCGACCACAGTGTATAATATATAACACAGTACACACAAAGGGTACAATGTACAAGAATATCACATAAGATCAGACACCCAAAGACCCTCTTGACTATCTTACTAGAAGCTACCCTATTGACTGAATCTACCCAGAATTCGCTACCCTAATGCATAGTCTCCAAGAACTCCACTAGAGCTCATGTCCTTGGCAATGTCTAAGGTCACCATGAAACAATTCTGTGAAATGGATATTTGGAATTTGGGTCTTAGATGAAAGGCTATTCCCCTTGAAGAACTTCTGTTTTTCGGAAAAAAAATCGCAAAGATTATGTAAGCAAGTTCTCTTGCTCTTGTGAGGTGTCGAGTACAATGATTTTTATATAATCTTCATTGGATACTATGTCATCCTTGCATTAATTGTTTATAAAATTTCATTTGACATGGTTATATATCTTGTCATTTGTTTTTTAGGAAACAAGGCTGACTCAAGTAGCAGTTCCTTTAACCTCAAGTGTGCATCATGTGGAGCTTAATGTGTACTTGGAAGCTAATGCTAGATATGCTCTTATGGCTTCAGTCAAGCAAATAAGCAGCAACCATTCAGTTGCTCCTGAGATCAGCACAGTTAATTTGAAGCCAGATTATACAGGTCCATTCATTTTTAGTCTTGAACTTTCTTCTGAAAGGTTTGATTTCATATTTAAACTTACATAGTTCCCGTTGTATTCTTTACAGTAATGGTCCTTTATGATGTTGACAAAGCTGATGAGAGCATTCAGCACTTGATAAAGTGGATTATGGATTGCTATTCGGATGTGTGTAAGCTGATTCTGTGTTGTGAGGGTGATGTCGACATTCTTGAACCAGTGAAAACTCGGTGCCATATTTTCAAGGTTGATGCTCCTGTAACTCATGAAGTAAGTGCTAGTACTCTCTCCTTCTTTCTTTGGAAGCTCGAACTTGTACTTTCTGCCACTAGTATTGCCTTGTGGATCCCACATATCCATCATCTGACCTCTAGTTACATATGTTTTGCTAAAGCACAAATGGAAATCTTTCTTTATTACAAGTATATGCATCTTCTTTTTCCTGATGTGAACATTCTACTAGTAAGAGTCCCATCAGATGATACTATAGTCTTGAATCACATGAATACAAGTAACCTAACTGCTTTTCATGATACTCCCTCTGTACCAAGAGGTAAGTGTCCAAGTCTTTATTTAAGTTTCTCTCAAAAGAAGTGTCCACATTAAAAAAGTATATGGTTTCAATTTACTAAAATTTTCAATTCTACCCTTAATTATGGCACATGAATATATAGAAGTTGATGAGATGGAGACACTATAGTCATTAAGAAGTGTAAAAATTACTAAGGGTAAAATTATGATAAGCCAGTGATTAGATTTCGTATTCAAGGAGAAACAAGAAGTAGAAGGGTCTTTTTGGGAATTTAGCTATCCAAGGGTAGTGCGGGAAATCTTTTCTGGAGCTGTTAGAATCTTTTGTTTATGGGAAGCAATAGTGGGGGAATATTTTTGTTATTTAGGAGGTTTAAGTAAGGGGAGAAGGCTGGGCTAAGAGAATATCGAAATTGTATCCAGTTTTTGTGACCGTTGGGGAGACTCCAGCTTCTCGATTTGCTGGAAGTCTATTTCAGTCATCCGATCAAGCCTTCAACCCTACTGCTTTTACCTTGAATTGTATCAAATTGTCATCATGACAAAACTGAGAAATGGAAAGATGATCGATCAATCTCATTCCAGGGAAAAGACCCTTATTTATAGTACAAAATAACAAAATATAAAATACCCAAACTACCTTTTACCTATAGGAGTCATTTAGTTAATTAAAAAGTGTAATAATTATACATTTCTTAGACTGTATTTTTTTTTTTTGTGGACATTTTTTCTTGGTAAATCTCATTTGTGATTTCCAAAATGAACCTACCATGCCAATAATGTAACCCGCATGAAGACATAGGAAATGAACTTCATGCGCAAATTCTCCCACCATCCTCTAATATTCTGTCTTAAAATATCAGATCATGGAAGTTCTTATTCAGATAGCAAGGAAAGAGAACTTCGATTTATCCATGAAGTTTGCTGCAAAGATTGCAAATAAATCCAAGCAGAACTTGAGGAAAGCAATCATGGCTCTTGAAGCCTGCAAGTCTCACAAGTAAAGAACAAATCATGCTCATAATATCTATATACCAAATAAGCTATTCTTACTCATATTCTAACACTCAAGCTTGTTTGCAGCTATCCTTTTCTCGAAGACCAACCAATCGCAATAGGATGGGAGGATGTACTTATTGACCTTGCTGCCGAGATTTTAGCTGATCCATCACATAAGAGGCAAGTTTATAATACTCCTTGTCCCAAGAAAACAGATATATTTTGGCTTTCAGATCAAACAGATTACTTTCCAACTATTCTGTACTTGAAAAACTTCATAACAACATTAAACTTCAAATGATTATTACAAATATAAACTGCATTTCAAGTTAGTGTATAAAAAGCTGTCGTGACAATAAACAAAGTATAGCTCGCGGGAAAGGACTTGACACAACAGTACAACAATTTGTTCTCCCATGTTTGGTGGGACTATTAGACCGGGACATGACGTTACTGAGTGGGACAAAAATGCAGTAGGGAGATGGGACAAAATATGTAAATTACTAAAAACTATCCATGTCAAATTAAAACCTTAAAACGTTCTACAATTCTTTCACCCACCTAACTCACTCTCGTCATTCCTGTCCTGTCCGCGTACCAAACGTAGTAATTTTTTCTCCCAAATATTTCATTACGTTCGTTCTTAATTTTCCTTAATGATACCATAAAAAAACGTGGGCTTTTATTAGGCTGTTTCTCATACGTGGGAAGCTACAGAAACTTCTGGTGGAATTTGTGCACCCAAAACTGATTCTTCAGGTAAAGCTAAGACCTTTCAGTAAAAGAATCAATCCAAGATCCACCCTCATGATTCGAAACCTTATGTTACAATGTTTACGACTATGCAGAAACTCATCGAACAGTTCCTAAAGGGTGTTGAGGCTACTTTGAAAAGGGAACTATATTATTGGCATCGTTATTATGTAAGTTCCCATCCTTTTACCGTATGCATTTTTCATTTTGATGGCAAATATGTGACAAAGAAAATGAATGGCAACTTACAGGATAAGAGACTCCCGGTTGGAACTAGTGCCTTGCTGAAGTTAGAAGGTAATAACCGTATTTCATATATCATTTTATCATGACAAATGAATGCGTAAAACGGATATTTTATAGATAGATAACGAAAAAGCTCACATGAAACTTAAAATTGCATTCCACCTATCAATGGTTTTAAAGTTGATTGTATAGTCTGAGCGGTCTGTTCCAGTTGACAAAGTGCTTACATCTTTCTTCGTAAGTTATTAGTCTATGCCCACATGTTCCATATCCGAGGATGGGGTTAGCCACAACGGGCTATCAAGTCTTTTCTGTATAGATTAAGTTGTCTGAAGATAAATTGACGTTGTTTTCTGTGCTGCGTAAACTTTCCGAATGAAGAAAATCACCATTTTACCCCTGTTACGTTACAACTTCAAATTGAAATGGATTTTTTAACTTCTCAATCAAAAAGACCAACTTCAAAAATGATCCAAGTCCCATGATACATCTCATTTGCTTAAGCTTTTCGTGTTTTTGTTAGCTAACCTTCGGTTCTCCATGTCCTCCTCCCCTGCAGAGTTTGTTGCCAAATTCATGAGTATACACAGGAAGAATTTACATAATCGTCAGTGATTGAACCTTCGGGGATGTCTGTTCTACGTATGGGAGGTTACGTTCCTAGGAAAGCATAAATAATGCAACAAGGTAGGTATCTCCTCGGACCTTTTAGCAAGTACAAAAACACCATATGTTTTTCCCCGAGTTCAACGAGGGAACGTAATGAAATTCCTCCTGTTACGAAGTTCCGATGAAATATGTGAGTTTATGTTACCAATTTATAACTCCTTGGTTCTTTTGATGATCATGTTTGGTGTATGATTTGGTTTCAAACCTCACCTTCATGGATGTATGTCTCTATTTAACTCTTGTTATTGCTAAGCTGGCTTAGATGATGGTTGTGAGAATAGGTGGAAAAAAAACCATTAGATCATTGATTATTGTTCCCCAATGCTGCATTTGGTATATGAGACAGATAGGGACAGGATAAAACTCACTGTCCCATGTTTGGCGCGATATGGGATAAGACAAAAACTCACCTTTGTACAAACTGGGTTTTTTCGAACCACCATCAACTACATCAAATTCATCATTCAAATTTGGTATTATTATATATGTATGTATTTATTATATATCTGTCATATCCAACCCTAGTTGTACCAAACACCAGATAGACAATTTGTAACGTCCAGTCCGGTCCAAGCATGTATGCGTACCAAACGTTAACCAAAAGTGGTAGACTTTGGTTCTAATATCATGTAAGAATATGTGGAATCTCATTGTATTACTCTCCGAAAGAGCCATGAAGGAGAGAATGGATGTTCAATCATATATTGAGGAGAAATGGTGCAAGTCTAATTGACGTGAGACTCTGGTCCTTTTCCGTCTAAACAATGTTATTTTTAATAACATGGGGATATGCTTCACCTTCTTGAGTGTTCCCACTCTACTGGTCCTACATCCATCATGGGAGGAAATCGTAGCAAGTCAGCTGGTGGTGGTGCTCGAGACCTCCTTTCTAGAGCCGCCATCGTGTGTCGTGGCTACACGCAACAAATACTGTTTGTATTGTTTGTTGGTTGAAGTTATGATGACGAGTGTTCGAATCCCAAGGTGGTGGTATGGTAGAATTTCTGAATCGCGAGACAGATATATCTACTCTTGTGTATTTTTAAAAAAATGCATTTTTATTCTCATTTTCATTCCTTATCATTTTCATTTTTATTTCTCTGTCTAAACCAAACACCCGTAAAATAAACTTGAGAAAACAAAATGAACATTTTTCTAAGGGGACGTTTATCAAACACTTACCCAAGTAAGTGCTTACCAAGTCATGTTAACTCACCAGATGAATATGATAAGAACCAAAAATCTTACCCGGTAAGAACGAGACAAGGACCATGAATCTTACCCGGTAAGTGAAGGCGACAACTCTTACCACGGTAAGCGCTTACCGGGTAAATTGTTACATAGGATGTCGTTTTGGTGGACTAAAATCTCACCCGGTACGTAAGTAATAGTGTTAAATTTTACCGGTAAACACTTACCGGGTAAGTGTTTGGTAAACGGCTCTTAAACCGTACGAGCTAGATTTTAATCTATACACTCATTTGGAATGTGATCATGTTGTATTTCTACTGTATTGTTATTAAAATCGTTTCAAATGGCACATGATTCCACCATCATTCGACTGCAATGGCTTCAAAATTTAATTGTTGATTGATACAATTAAATGAAAAATATAGGTATAAATGTTTATATATATTTTTAAAATATGTGAGTGTTTTTAAATAATCAATTTTCTCACAAACAGTTAAATAAAATTGTTAACAAAGTTCTAAATGACGTGAATTGTACGGTAAAATAAAAAAGAAAGAAGAGAACTTCGTATTGTGGCAACTCTCTAGGAGTCATGTTTAACCTTGAATGCTATTATTAGATTTTTACAGCAATGGTTACTCGGACTCGGAAATTAATAACGAAAATGGCTAACCTAATAGAAGATTTTGTAGCTGCCACCGTTGGAACCAATGAAGCAAATGATTGACCTATCATATCATCCGAAGGAATGGAAAATACCAAAAAGTTCGAAATCACAGCTAATAACATTGATTCAATTGGCATTGATTGATATAATAGGAATATTTCGGGGCTGTTTGTTGCCAACCTCTTAATCGGTAAGAGGTCAAGACTGTTTGGCAAAAAAAAAAAAAAAACAACCTCTTAAGGGTTACATTAACCTCTTAACCATTTTGCACCTAGACCTTCACTCAACCATTCAGATGTTTATTTTTCCAACTCTGCCCTCTCATCGTTGATTCCAAACATCGCATCCCCCTCCATTCGCCGGTTCCAGTCGCCGACTTCCCCCCTCCCATCGTCGATTCTAGTCGCCGGCCGTCTCCCCCCTCCCATCGTCGATTCTAGTCGCCGGCCGTCTCCCCCCTCCCCCACGATCGTCGCCGCCCCTACTGGTTCCCGCCGGTCTCTCCTCCCACGCGAGATCCTCGTTCCTCATCCCACTCGATCGTGTTCTCCAGCGTGTTCTCCAGCGTCTTCTCCATCGAATCTGTTGTCTTCTACATCGTCTCCCACTCGATTTCAGGTATTTCCCTTTTGTCTCCTTAGGGCTGTTTGAATGAGGTAATTTCCCTTCTCTCTCCTTAGGGCTGTTTGAATGAGGTAATCGATTTGATCGTTGGTGGATTCAAGTTATGAGCTAATCATTTTGGTATCTGATGAATCAAGCCATTTTGGTATCATTTTGGTATTTGTTGAATCGATTTTGGTATCCTTATTATGATGAGTTGTGCCTGATATTTGGAAAGAGTAGAGGCAATGATAATAGGGTTAAAATGGTAATTTGTTGTCATTCAGTGAACATTTACCAAACAACCATATTTCATTCAGCACTTAACCATTCTGACCCTCTTAACCATTCTGTCCACTTAACCATTCTGTACAAAACCATTCAGCAACTGCCAAACAGCCCATTTGTCTATTAAGGAGGATTCCCAAGACGTTTTTTAAGGCGTGCCTTAAGGCAGCACACACACACACACACACACATATATATATATATATATATATATATATATACACACACACACATCCTATCCACACTTGTATATGCTAGTGTTTTGAATAATAGTGTAGAACAAATTAAATTCATATGGAGTAACAATATTAAAAAAAAAAAAAGAATTATTGATAGCAAGCATATACCGCTTATAGAATTTGATATCAAGATTGTAAACTCGAGATTAAGGGGTCGTTTACCAAACACTTACTAGATAAGTGCTTACCGGTAAAATTTTACGCTATTATTCACTTACCGGGTAAGATTTTAGTTCACCAAAATGGCATCGTATGCAACAATTTACCCGGTAAACGCTTGCCGTGGTAGGAGTCTTCATCTTCACTTACCGGGTAAGACTTTTGGTCCTTGTCTCGTTCTTATTGGTTCTTACCATATTCATTCGGTAAGGAAACGTGACTTGATAAGCGCTTACCCGGATAAACATTTGTTAAACGACCCATAAATCTCTTGAATCTCTAATCACAACTTTTTTTAATTTTTAAAGAGTTTGTGTTCGACTTTTGGTGTTGGAGAATGTAAGTAAGTATTTACCTATTTAAAGTTTTAGCTTTTAATTTTAAATTTTTATAATTATTCAAGTTTTAGATCACATACATAATTATCATATATCGTTTAAGTTATTTATATTATATTATAAAACATTTGACACATAAAATTTATATTTTATTTAAAAATAAAATCATTATTGCTTTCTTTAGAACACATAAAATCGTATTATGACATCGACAAAGAATAAAATAAAACATTAAAATCGAAATGTATCTCGCTGCTTTATGTGAGTACCCTTTTAATATATATTAAAGTACTCATACCTTACAAAATAACATGTCGTAACATATCATAACACGTTATAATAAGCCATAACAAGTTATTTAGAAGTTGTAAACATATTAATATTTGAAGTTATGTTCGTAAATTTTGAAAAGATTAGGTTATTTTTGGGTACGTTAAATTAACCGTAGGATATTGTGGGAAAGGAAGGGAATGTTAATGGTGGTAATTGATGCAGAGATAGGAAGGTTGTTATTGGCCATGCCAGAAAACTTTAAGCGCTAGCTTTCTCCATAACCCATGGAGAGGAGGGAAGGAGTCTTCTTCCACAATCCCATGGGATATCATCTTCTTCTTCATTTCTCGTTTCCTTCTCTCATTCCTCTGCTCCATTTTTAAAGGTATACATGTTTCATCCTCTTCGAATTGAATTTGTAGGTGTTCTTTTCTGAAATGCGTATTATACATCCAATTCCAATCGTATCAGGTGATTTTAGTTAGATCCGGAATATGAATATTGCGAAATTGTGGAAGCGATCGGATGTAGAGTTTGTTTCTTTTATGTAATCTGTTTTCTGATGTTGTTTGTTTTGCTTTTTGTGCTTGTAATCTGAAAGCTATACGGATCCTTTTATGGTGCGATGCCTACGTTTACAACAGTAGCTTTGGATAGTCTGATAGAACCAAAAGCTTCTAAACCAGTGGCAGGAGGGAAAGTTATCCCTGAACCGAAACTGGAGAGGAGGAATAGTAACTCTGCCATTACAAGACAAGGTAGTGGAACTCATGGTGGTGCTAATAGAAAGCCCGATTCGAGGAATAGCACAAAGACTATTGAGAGAAAGCATCATTGGACTCAGATTTCACCTGCTCTCTATGCTACTCCTGAACCAACGCCGCTTCCAGATTCCCCCTTATCATTTCCTCCGTCACCTTACATTGTTGACCATAAGCGGCGTGGGCCACGACTATCCAAGACTTTCTCCGAGAATAATGCTCTTCTTCATACAGCTATAGACGAGGAAAAGACTGTTAATATCGGGAAAAGTGCAGAAGCAGAGGACATTGGACCTAGCAAGGTATCAGATGGCACGGATACTGTTTCTGGTGGTGTTCAGGATAACCGTGTGAAGTTTCTGCTTGATGGAGATCGTGGAAGAGCAAAGGACCTTGAATCCAGCAAGGTTTTTGACTCCACAGATCCTGTTTCTGGTGATGTTCAGGATAAACGTAATGCAGATAGGCAGGATAATCCAAGGAAGTCTGACACATTGGAACGAGACATCGAGGTAGATGATTTCTTTGACCCTCATGACTCAATGAGTGTTAAGAGCAGCAATGACGGTGAAAGTAATTATGAATCAGAGCGGGCCTTGCATCACACCGCTCCATTTGCTGAGTTCTATGATGCTTGGGAAGGTAATTCAGTTTCTTTTTGCCTATGATTCATATGGTTGCTGTTAACTGCATAAAGGAGGCCTGTGGTTGCTGCAGCAATTGCATTATTAAGGGTGCCTAACGGGGTAGCTTCTACAACGATCACATAATTTACGTTTTTCCTATCGGTTTTTTTCTTATATCCCTCGATATCGTTAGATGTCAAGGCAAACTTCCCTGACATAAATTGTCAAATTTGAAGATCCGTGGACCAATCATTTTGTCGTCAAATTTTGTGATAAACATGCTATGAAATCAAAATCATGCCTATTTTACAATATTGTAGAATTGATGGGTTCACTTGCATTACTTCCACAGAACTGGCAACTGAGACTGGAATCCAGCACACTGCAAATGATGTTGAGGCTGAATTAAGTGAAATGCAAATGGGCTTTTTGATTGAGATGGAGAAAAAGAAGCAAGCAGAAAGCCGCCTGAGTGATATGAAAAGCCAATGGGGGAGGATCCGGGAACAATTATCTATTGTTGGGCTGACTTTTCCTGCAGATCCTACAATGCTGGAGGATGAACCAGCCAATGATCCTGGGGAAGAGCTATGCCGTCAGGTTAATCTTCTCCGCTTTGTGTCAAATGCTGTTGGGAAGGGAATTGCAAGGGCTGAGCTTGAGGAGGAGTTTGAAGCCCAGTTGCAATCTAAGAACTTTGAGATCGCTAGGTTATTGGACAGACTGCATTACTATGAGGCTGTAAATCATGAAATGTCTCAGAGGAATCAAGAAACTGTTGGTGAGTGTTGAGTTGTTTATTACCTTGCAAATTTACTTTTTTGCAGGTCTCTTCAATTATGGTTACATTCTTAAATCCCGCCATAATCTGTCTTCATACCCTGGAATAATATTCCAATTTCCCTATATTAGATTCGATGACAGGCTAAAATTTTTGGTGCCAAGCGACATAATCTTTGTAGTGATTGAATAGGAAATTTCTATTAGCAAAGCTTGCATAATGTATTAGTGCACCAACAAGATGGAGTCTTTTCCTTTCAGAAAGGTCTGATTTTTGTTTTCCAATCTAGTTTGTCAAAGATATTCCTATTACTATAACATAATGATCTTGACAGACAATGACTGCATCAGATTGAAGCTGTTTTGGTTAGTTGCCCATGGACATCCATCTTGGACGACCTTAATGTTAGTCCTTCAATGAGTTCAGTCATGTTACCATGTACTGTCTTTGGTTGATACAAAATTTTCAGGTTACAGCCAGCAGTCATCAACTCATTTCATTATTTGATTCAAAGTCTTGTAACTCAAGAAAAAGGCTTTTTATTCACAAAAAGCATATGATTTCGCGATGGCATATATATCACAACAATGATTTGATAATGGCGTATGCCATGAATATAGGGTCCTTTAGATGACCTTCCAACAAGTTCTTTTAAATCCATGACTTTCTGACACATTTCAAAATATCACTGCTCAACAGAAGAATGTCTAGAAACCTGTCAAAAGGTCATAACTTAAAAATCACTTGTTAGGAGGTCATTTAGCTAAATAACCCATGAATTTTTTGTCACATCTTTACTGAACCTTGATGTCTTCCTTTTCAATTTGTTTGAACGTATTTTTTTTGCAGCATATACATAATTTAGGATCGTAGGCCTTATGTTCTGTCTGTGTATGTGTTCAATGAATCTGAATGCACCTTAATTTGTTGGTTATTACCGAACAATCATTCATCGTGTTAATTTAAATCACATATCCTCCTTGTACAGAAACAATGCGTTGTCTTAGGCAAAGGAGGATGAGAAGACAGAAGTGGATTTGGGGTTCAATTGCTGCTGCAATTACACTTGGGAGTACTGCCTTAGCATGGTCTTACCTCCCAACTGCAAAAGGATCATCTTCCACCGACCCTTCTCCTACTCGTACTTCTGAAAGCAACCGTTAATGACTACCCCAGTGGGGTACGTCGATGATGACATAAGAAGACCGGAAAAAAAACATCAATGGTGAATAGCAGCATGTTTTCTGGCCTCCAAGAATGTATAGTTCCAAATAAAACAAGTATGGTGTACGGAATCTACATACTTCCATACGATAGCGAATTTGCAACCGTATTTAGATCAATTTCTCTAACATGATAGTCTCGTAAGTATTCTACTCCTTTCATTTCCCTTTATCTGAGGTTGCGTAACATCATTGGTCATGTTCGGCAACCATAAGCTAGCTTATTCTTTTGAGCTTATTGGAAAAGCTCCATTTTGTAAGCCATTAGCTAGCATTTTCTTGTTGTTGTCTCTACTGATATGTCCTAACGCTAGAGATGTGGGTCTAATCCATGTGAGGAATTGGGTTCAAACCCGAGCACCACCCCTCTGCTCATGGGAAGCATGTGCGATTTACCTCCCCATGATGATTGTGGGATGGATGCAGTCAGGGCGCTCTAGTGGATCGCGAAACCCTTTTATAAGCTAGATTTTTGAAAAGCTATTACAAGTATTGTTTCAATAAGCTCATTTGGCCTTTTTCATTTTTTTTCAATTATATGCCCCTTGTATTTTACATAAATGACGAAAAACCCTAGCATCTTAGGTTATTTTATATTGTCCTCTAGCTCAGCTGGTTTTCACCAAATGTGACTAGTTTATCAGTTAGTTTGTCAAACATACTCTTCGTAATTTTTGTGAAACTTGTAGTTTTTGGACGATCTAATTAATTTTCATGGTGCAGGTTAGTTCCCCGGTGTCCGGTGACAATTGCCATTAGCATGGAGGTTTTGTCTCGCAGGAATCATCCCTTCAAGTCTTTCGGGAAGGTTATATCGTACATAATACACACATTTTCGGCATTAATTAGCATGGATTAACATTACATATTTGGGAGTAATAAAAGCATGGTTTACAGTTTACCAAAATTGCATGTGTAATTTGGTCACAGGATGCATAAGTGCATCAAACTGGTGGAAATGATGATGGATGGAAAAAGAGACCTGAATTTGGGTTATCATTGTGATATTGATGCTGCATGCAAGATTTTGTCTCAAAAGACTCCTAGGTGCAATTATGCTCTGGTTTTTATTCTCATTTTTACCTGATTTTTTATTTTTAATTTAGGGTTCGAGTTCATAGGATTGAATCGATATTGGTATTTAGAATTCGTTTGGAATAGAGTTGCACACGGGTCGGTCCTAAAATAGTCCAGTACGGTCCATTTGGACCGGCCTTTATCCGGTTTGAACCCAATTCAGAATTTATCTTGTTTGAAAAAAACTCGGTTTTATCCGGTCTGCGTCAGAGAAATATGGTCCGAGAAAAGACCAACGGTCCGGTGTGGTTCAGGTTGATGTCATGGATTGGTTTTCATTTGGTTAGTTTGTGAGGCTTAATGTCAATGGGTTCAGATGTGGTTTAATGATTTGAATGGCTTATTCAATAAGCCATAAAAATAGGTTGGTTTGCGGCTTATTAAGTAATCCCATGATTTCTTTGGTCAGCTGTCTGGTACCAGCTGTATCCATTAAGCCAGTAATTTTCCTCTCCTACCCTTCTCCCCTTATCCTTGCTCTTCCCTCATTTCCCGTTATCGCTATCGCCTTCTGCTCCTCTCTCCTACCACTTCTATTTCGTTGTCGTACTCTCCTCACACCGCTTCTGAACTTCCGGCCACTAAAAGCCCTAGAAAATAGAGGTCCACACGGGAATCCAATTCTCACGTCCCCGTATACGCCTTTCAATTACCTACCTCACTTTCGTCTGTCTAGTCGTATCTCATCTTCACTTGTATGAATTTTATTGGAATTGATGGAAATTATATGTTGATGGTAATGCTGGATAAAAATACAGCATGTGGTAGTGCAAAGGGTTCTTGTAATCTTGTTAATTATTTGGTTTATATAAAAGGAAGGATAAAATGATCATTTATAATTATTTAAATAGTTTATTTAATATATCAAATTAATAAGATATAGAAAATTTAATTTATATAAAAGCAACCCAACCCAATAGATATTAAGAGGCTGTTTACTAAATGCTTATCCGGTAAATATTTTTCGGGTAATTTTTCTCACTGGATGAACATGGGAAGGGACAAGAATCTTACCCAGTAAAAGCGATGATAAGGATGGAGAGTCTTGCCAGGTAAGTTACGGTGACGACTCTTACCCGGGTAAATGCTTACCAAGTAAATTGTTGCATATGATATTACCCAATAAAATAACTTATAGTATTGACTCCTAACGTTAAGCACTTACCAGGTAAGCATTTAGGTAAACGGCCCCTAAGTTCCAAAACGAGTTTTTAGATACAAAATTTGGAATTGTAGGTACATATGTGTCATTAATAGACCTAAGTTTACTATAACATCATCTTTAATTAGAGTTTCTTATTTAAGGGTGTGTTTGGTATATTGAATGAAAGAAAATATGGATTATTGTTTTATATTTGGTAGGATTTTTATGTGGAATAAACAGAAACATAGTGGATGATGCATGTTCCACCTCTAATATAACCTCAAACAAAACCTATTTATCTTAACATCAAATACGCCTCCTTTGTTACATTTTGTTCATTCTTTAAATTTTATTTATCGTATTTTTATATACTCTTTAAACTTTCACTTTTACTGTCCTCAAAATATTATTTTGATACGATTTCTATATTTTGGTTGATTTATTTAATTTATTAAATGTTAATAATAATAAAAAATATATAAAAGATATATAATAAAAATTGGAAGCTATATAACCTTTTTTTGTTTTGATATCATTAATAATCTTGACGAAAACATTCTAATAATATATTTTGTTACAAAAATTATTTTATTATAATTTAATAAATTAAATAAACTAATCAAAATATATAAAAGATATAAACAACTCGCTAGATGAGAAAATTGATCATTTTATCTGTTCTGTCCTATCTAGTTATGTCTTACCAGACGCTAATCAATTGTTCTATCTTGTTATGTTCTATCATATCATTTTGGATACCAAAACTCACCCTAAAGGAACAACCATTAGAGAGAGTTCTTAACCATCAAATAACCTTACATTTTCTATGTTATTGTACAAGAACCTTGATTTTTACCTTAAACTTGGTGTGAAGTGATTTTTTATTAGTTCTTTTACATAGGGAAAAGTTTAAAAAAACCCAATTGACTTTAGTGTTTGGAATGATTAAGTCATTTGACAATTTTTTGGAATAAATAAATACTTGTACATTCCAAAACATGTTAAATAACTCCTTGGACTTTCTAAAACCTATTAGATACATTCGTATGACCTATACAACTGGTTAATTTGGTAAAATAATAGAAAAAGTCCGAAAAAAACCCAATGAACATATATATTTTGAACGGTTAAATTCCTAAACATTTTTTGAACCAAAAAATATTTAAATCTATAAAATTAAACAAATATAACAAAAAATAATTACATTTAAAAAAAGATTTTTGATAAAATTTATTTTAATTAAAATAAAAATATATTCTACTAATGATTTTTCAAACT